AATAATGCTAATAATACCTTCTCCTTCTGTAGTAACTGCAAATGGCAAAGAGCAAGGTGCTTTTCCATGTTTCGTTTTTGCACATACATATACTGTGTATTGATGGGCTGGTAGTAAAGCTGAGAAAACAGTATAATTGAGTGGAAAGAATAACTCTTGAGAGAATGTTTTCCATTGGTCTTGAAGTATTATTTCATATAACTCTAGAGGGCACCATTTGTCACTGTGAACAGGATACTTGCACCCAAAATTATTAGTTTCATCAATATCTCTTTTAGAAAGCGATGTTTAGGAAATAGTCTGTTGTGAGCAGTAATAGTGAAATTCTTAGTTTACTCTTTATGGTGTAATATATTAGGTAATATATTGGGTATGGTGTAATATAATGGGTTTGTTCACTAATTTTAAGTACTTACATTCCAAGTGATGGAAAAGCTTGATGACGTGATATTACTGCTCACAATGTTGTAGTCATTTGAGTTGGGAACTAAAACACAACAATCTTTTAAACATTTATTCAAAATAATTACCTCTAAGAATTATTTCACCCAATTTGATACAATTGAACAGTTTCCCAAATTTAATGCAATAGTGTTCTTCTCATTTTCTTAAGAAATTTTATAATTACTGGTACTTCAAGTGTTCAAAAATGTATTGATTAAGAATTATTGGTATAGCTTCTTTTATAAAGTGTTAAATGTACAATGTATAACTTACAGAAAGCAATTTTTAATCAATAAAACTAATGCTAAAAAGGATTATTCAATTTAACAGCGCCCAAGGAGGAGGGAGGCGGCCCTTAAAATAAATTTTTGTGTTTTTCAAAAAGGTTGCAATACCTTGGCACTGAGTTTCAAATTGCACTGTGGGTATTGCATCACGCTTGATAACTATTAAAACTTCACATATTAACACAATTCTCAGCAAATATTTGGGTGCCTACATGTAGATCCGTTTACCATTGGCTACAACTATGGACCTTGATTCTATCTCTTGAATTGAATGTTTTGTTCGTAACATTTAATCAATTCATACCCCATTTTCCTGAAACAAAAATGCTCAAGATGAATTTGTATCTTTGCAGAAATTTTCCTATTCCAAGGAATACTTAATAAGTAAATTATTCAGCAGTTGTATTCAGACAAATGAAAATGGTAATGAATTATATTTTTTAGCAATAAAAAATGTATATACCTTATATTGCACTTCATACCAATGAGGGACTGCCCATCCATTTTGGATTTTCTAAAGTTAAATTGAAATAAGAGCATTATTCCAACTTCTTTCTTGACATGTGGTGTTTTGCTTAAGAATGCGTATTCCTAAAATCCCACAATAATATTTAAAAAGATGTGTCTTTTATTCATTATTACTAATAGTCAATTAAGGAAACAATTAAAGAGCCTTTAGTAGAGAACATGGACCTGGAAATCCTGAAACTTGCACATTACAGTGGTAAACTAGAATCATGTATGGCTTTGAAACATGGGTAATGAAAGAGAGAGACAAGCAAAAACTACAGGTGGCACATATGAGATATCTGACACCTCATGGGAATCACAAGAAGAGACAGAATGAAAATTCAGACATCAGAAAGAAATTGAAAACCAAAGGCTTAGGAGAAGAGATAAAACAGTCTCAAAGGAGATGGAAAGATTATTTACAGAGAGTAAACAACAACAACAGATTGCCAAAATGAATCTGGAAGTTCAAACCAAGATGGGTCACAAATAGAGGCAGACCACTAACGAGGTAGCAACACAAACACTTGGATGGCTAATATCTATCAAGAATGCTGTAATAAACAACTAGAAACAGGTTATAAAGTCCAAAAGGTCAGTTTCATGATGACGATTGATGAATAGTAAAATTATAAATTTTGTACCTGTTGAATTACAACTAATAAAAAGCTTGTGAACACAGGAAGCATAATGAGGAACCAGCAATAAAATCTGTGAGAGTTTATGTGGGCAATCCATAAATTTTTTCAATATCTTTAAAAAGAAAATACTTGTTGGTAATCGACATGTTTGCTAAACTTTGAATATCAAACTTATTATGTAGGTACTCCATTCTAATTGCTCTAGGCAGATGAGAACCATTTTCTCTTTATTCCAAGAACTCCAGATATTTTCACTGGTATTTCTCCGGAGCAACTTCAAGGTCCTTTCAAATAGGTGACCGAATCACAAAAGCATACCAATTTTGAGTGGACTAGCATTAATGGACCAAACTTTCCATTCTAGATGACTCATTTACTTCATTGTTTTTTGTTTGTTTTATATTCACTGGTCTCTCAATATAAAGTTTAAATATTTGCTATCAAAGATAATACATGACAAACACAGGGAGGAGAAATCTCCCATCTGCAGATGTTCAATTAAACAGACATGTCAATATTTAAATCATTTGGTGCAGATATCCGTCATGCCCATCTTTTAAAAATTTTTAAATATGTTGATCATGTAGCATATAGATATACGATGTATATAAATGCATTGACTGGAATACAAATCCCCCATGTGGGCCATGAACTCAGGGTTTAATTGGCTAAAATTTTCATTTGGTACAGAATCGGTAAGTATATAAAGTAATATCTGCTTACTGTACTATAAAGTAATTCAGTTTTTTCCTTCTCCCAAAAAATCATGAAGAGAGAATTTTGAAGAGGAACAGACAACAGTATTAAATGAACTTAATGACCCAAATAAATTTTTTTTTACGAGTAACTTTAATGCAAGAGTTGGTAAAAATACAGATGATTTGATTCAGGGGTGTCATAGGGGGGATACAATCAATAAAGATCTTATTGAAATCTATAATCAGTTCTCTCTTTGCAACTCTCTTTGAACAGATGGGTTTTATCAACAAGACATACCCCAAAAACATGGTTTTAATCAAGAAGAAACTTATTGTCAATAATTGATTATGTGGTTGTGAAACAGCAAACTAATACCAACGTTTTAGATGCAAGGGTAATTACGGGTGCAGATTTTGGTTCAGATTACTTTTTATTATAAACACCTGTTCTTTTTAAATAATAAATTATGTAAATCAAAAATCTAGACAAGAAAATAGTGTCTCCAAACAAAATATATTTGATGTATACAAGCTTGAAAATTCTTCTGAAAGGTTTAAATACCAATTATATGTGGCACAAGGTATTAGTAACGGCAAATAGAAAATGTCAGTTTAATGTGTGAAGCCTTAACAAATCATCAAAAAGCTCTTCAAAATTAACTATTGCCATGAAAGGAAAGGATCACGTAAAATGTGAATGGTGGAATGATGTGCTTGATGAAAATTTTAAAGTAAAAGTAAAATCATTTATGGAAAGTGGTTGTTCCTAGGATGTTATGAAGATAAACCCTGATATGTGAGATACATGGAGAATGTTAAAAGAAATGTGACGAAAAAAATGAACGTTGAAGGGAAAGGGGATAAGAAATAAGTAGGTTTTTTGGAAATGACTCAGTTCTGTTCAGGTAAATGAAAAAGAACATTGAAAGTTGGACCCATTAGACTTTGAAAAATGAAGAAGTCAACAAAGCTGTCATGAAATTGAAAAATGGCAGAGCTCTGGGACCAGGAGGAATCTCAATAGAATTCATTTAAAATAGCCTCCTCAAATGCCATATATGACAAAATTCAGTTATTCAATAAATGTTTGGAAGGAGATTTAATTCCTGAAGAATGGAAAATGGAATTTATTTCTTCTACAAGAAAGGCAATAAAAATGAAGGTGAAAATTATAGGGGCATTACTACCAGTTCAATTGGGAGACTATATGGCCAGATATTGACAGACAAACTGGAGAGTTGAAGGTACCGGAGGAACAGAGTAGATTTGTAACAGGAGAATCATGTATTCATAGCTTAATTTGTTTATAACAAATGACTGAAAAATGAATAAGTGGAGACAGGGAGATACATATCTTATAGTTCTGATAAAGGTATTTGACTCAGTACCCTTAGTTAAACTCTCAGATACAATGAAAGACAAAAATATAAATACATTTTCATGAAAGCTATCACTTGTCTATTTGCAGATTGCCAGAGCAGAGTTAAGTATATTCCAGTAGCTCTTCAGCATTTAGAATAAATGAAGGTCTTACGCAAGGATTTTCTTACCTCTATTGGAGTCAAAATTTATACCAAAATGAATTTTTCTCACCTGGAAAAGAAAGTGCAAGGGCATGGATACCTATTGAGGCAGATTTCTTGTGTACCTTTAATGAATGCAGTTAAACAAGAGATGAAGGCATGGGAGTACATACCAAAGAATAGAAGGTACTATAAAGAAAGACCTAGAAGGAAATGGGAGGAGAAAGTTGGAGTAATATTAATGACTAGAAGATTAGTGGAAGAAAATAAGAATAATCAAAAGAAACAGAGATTAGGCAGTGAGAAACGGCAACACTCGTTAAAAAACTCGCTTTACCAATTTTTACTACCCCAATCAACTAAACAAGCACAGAACTTTGCTTTTAACTTTCTAATTCAAACTGTTGCTGACATACATCTTATGTTTATAAAATTATCTAGATGAGAAATGTATTGTTTTTTTCTTTTCTGGGAGTAAGGATCCATTCCATAGGTTTCTTTTGCTCTAAGGAGGTTGTCTCCAAGGCTACCTTTACTATGCCTCATACTTCAGAAAACTTTTTAATTCTGAAAACAAGTTTACCAGATTCTTACTGATTGCTGAACTGCTAATTATCAGAAGATTGTTGGATCTCAGGCCTAGTACAGCCAAGGGATCTCAGTGAAAAGTACTCCAAAGTGGTTTTCTTTCTCTTCAGGCTTATTTTCATCTATCAGCTACCTGAATTGTTAGTGTTAAATTTACTGTGTTTGATTCAGTTCAGACATAATTTAATTTCAACAGATTCATTTTGAATAAGCACGAGAAATCAGCTAATACACAGCAGGTCCTTAGTGAAACAAATATATTTTTCATTTTTTTATTTCATAATTATTTTTGGAAGAAATATATTTCTTCTTTTGACAATAATTAATTCAGTTATTTCTTACCTTTTAAGTGCATTTTTTTTTTTTTTTCAAATTGCTTAGCGTTTTTATCAATTTTATCAAACACTATATTTGTTGTGCATGGTTATTTTTAAATTAGCTGATAGAACATATGTAAAAACAGTGTAGGTAACAAAGGTAACAAAAAAAAAATTATATTAAATATACTAGGTATGTACTAGTTATTACTTACGCTTTTGGCATAATGGAGGATAGTAGCCTTCTTCACACAAATCATTGCATTCACCAGTGTATTTATCACAGGAGCCTTCTTTACATCTTCCACATAAATTTTGACAATTAGCTCCATAAGTCCCAGGTTCGCATTCTGATGCATATATAAATCATACTGTTAATACACAATTAGGGAATGGAAGCACAGAAATAGGCAGTGACTCAGTAATTAATTTCAATAAAGATGAACAGAGATTCATTAAAGTCTTCTGTTCATGAAAAACTGACATTCAAGCATTTTCTACACAAATATAAAATATGTTGCCTCTAATTATTGTGTTGTTATGTTTATTGCAGAATAAAATTTTGCTCCAATTCACTCCAGGGATTTAGCAGAATACATTTATCTACATATCCAACACAAAATAAAAATGTGATGTAATGTAGAAACACAAATATAAAACAACACTAATAATAAGCATGTTTGCCACTTTGTTATAGTGTCCTATAAAATTGACAATTGATCATATTGAGTTTCATCTGATTCTTAAACAGAGAATTTGAATAGGGGAAATAATATATAGTAGGCTCTAGGAAGTCCCTTTTAAACACCTATGGGTTCTAACCTAAATAATGTGATGAAAATAAAATTAAAGTCTTTTGGAGCACTTAATTACTGGACTAATACGACCAGCACAAGTTTTGTGGTCAAAAATAATTTAATGGGGTCGCAAATGATTAAAGATTTTTTGAACAGGCCCTGTCACAGACTACCATCTACAGCTGGTGCCTGTTAAGCAATAGAAGCATGGAGGTATTAGAACTTCATAGAATGAGAGTATTTTGAGTTAGTTGGGAGCAGAGTGTTGCATTTCATTTGACAGAGTCTGCACCGATTAATGAAGCTAAAAAATATCATCCCTTACATCTGATTTCATTATGGTTTTATTTGCTGGAAAAAATTTTAAAAAATCTTTCATTTTCCCGAGCACAATTGCACCTTCTGTTATCAATGCAAAACATTAAAATCTTGTTGTTTACAAATCAGTTGAACACTAACTACATGCTATAGTTTGTTCCTGTTCAAAAAATATTTTGAAAAGACAAAATGCATGCAATAGTTGAGACACTTACGCTGTCCCTCCTAATTTGCTACTCACTAGCCATCCCAACTTGTATGACCTCTTTCTTTTATCTTGCGAGTGTCAATCTACTGTCATTTACTTCACATTAAGAAAAATTAGTTGCATTTGTTTCATATCTAATTTTTACATTTTTTTTAGCATTATTCCACCTAAGAAAGTAACCAAAACAACAAAATATTTATAATGTCATTAGGGTCACTTCAGTGGGTGCTAAATGTTGAATTTATAAGTTCAAAATTACTTGTGGCATTGTTATCTTCCTCTTTGAGAAAAGAGTTAAAATTCAAGTTCATATATTTAAGTTTTCTACGTTCAGAACACTTATTTAAAACACAGACATTGATAAATTCTATTATAAGAAACTATCTGAATATTTTCAATACAGGAAACTCGGTCAATAAATAAAATAATTTCAAACATTCTATGAAAAAATATTTTAACGATAAAATTAAAAATATTATTGGACAGGATCATGATTGAAGACTTATTATCAAAAAAGTACTAACTTAGGCAGAATTAATCAGGCTATTTGAATATCGAAATTCAAATTTCACATAAAAAAGTAACAAGAAAATAATTTTTGGAATCTGTGAAACTAGATCATGATTTGCTGTCACCATTACATTTTGTTACCAGTTTAAAAAATTATAATGGATACATTAAAAGAATTAAAATACATGAGGCCAATAAAAACCAAACCTTGACCTTTCCCAACATGTTTTCTTTTTTATAATTCTAACCAAGAAAATTCCAGTTACTGATTATCTACATGCAAATTTTCTACATTTTAAAATAAATTGAAACTATGCTAAATTACATGATTCAATATTGACATTAATCCAAAACTTTTCTTACAAAAATAATGTTTTATTATAAACGTTTCTATTTGATACTTCTGGTCTTTCTTTCCTCAGATCCCTTGAAACATGAAGGTCGGTCAGAAAATAATGTCCCAAGTTTTGCTCTAATAATAAATAACCAATAATACTGGCAGTCAGTTGTAGATGCTAACCCTTCAAAGTTTATTTCCAATGTTAGTATTTGAAGTTTCAACTCTCTCCTACAGTTGTCAGTTCCTTAATGTACTGTTATGCAGCTGATTTCGCGAGTCTGCCCCTGGCGAAATCAGCTGTTGACAGTTTCATCCAATCGGGCGCTTGGACGTCACTGCAGTGACGTTATGCTCCCGATTGGATGAAGCCGTCAACATCTGATTCCTACCAGGGGCAGACTTGCATAAATCGCAGTATAAAATGGCGTCTGTAGACGACGTGCGTTATACAAACAACGGGCTGTGATTAAGTTAATGCGGGGAAGAAAACTTGTGAACATCCACAAGCACTTGTGTGCAGTGTGTGGCTCCGCTACTATCGACAGGAGTCGACAGTTAAACGTTTGGCTAAATGAGTTAGAGCTTCGGAAAGTAAAGAATGCGATCTTCATGATTTGCCGCGTTAAGAGCATCCCGCCACAGTGACGTGTTCTGACTTGCTGTTCACTGTCTTTTGGGGCGTTGACATGCTGATCACTGGGTTTTGAGTGTCATTTAAGTTGATGTTATGCCCAAAGGCAGTTACGTAAATTTAAGTTCTTACATCAGCACTCTGAATATCGTAGAAGTGTTTCCCGCGAGTTCGATCTCAAAAGAATTGTACACAAAATTTGCTCTTGCATGATAACGCATACACACGGTTCGCAACAAGAGAAGCACTGGCAAAAATGGGTTCCCCATCCACAACACAATCCGGATTTATACACCTCCAATTCCCATATCTACGGGCGAATGAACAATGCTATTCACAGCAGAAAATTTGAAGACGACGTCAGTGTGATCTGCAAAGTGAAGGAATGGCTACGTCTTCGTCAGGAAAAGACTTGATTCAGGCAGAGGCATGCTCCCCCTTGTTTCGCGCTGACGTAAGGCTACACAAATCGATGGAAATTATGTGAAAAAAATAGAGCAAGTAGAATAACCATATATTGATGTTGTGTGCAAGTGTTAGATTTTTCGAAGAAATATTTCTGGAGGAAGAAAAATGTGGGGCATTACTTCCTGACCCCCTTCGCAGTATATTTTCATGTTGATTTTTTAAATTAAATTTAGTAGCTCTTACCTTTTTCACAGTTTGTTCCTTTAAATCCTGCGGCACAATAACAATTCCGAAATGTATCGCAAAATATAATGTTCTTGCAACCGTCTTGAAACGATGAACATCTGCCGCTGCAATTCTGACCAAAGTGATTCGGTCCACAAGCTGTATAACAAAGTAGTTCTATATGAGAGGTAATATTGGTTGAAAAAAGTATTGTTGGTGTGTTTTTTCTTGGAACAGAAGAAAATCTCACATTGACCGTTGGACAGATTCCCGAACGCACATCGTGGTCCACAGGAGTGTTTTTGTCAAGTATAATGAATGCACGCAGAGACGTAAATATACAAAGGGGACTAGTCCCATGGACGGTTGCAGAGGTGACCGAACGTAATGAGAAAGCTGCGAAATGAAACATATTGTTGTTTCATAAAGAGACCTGACGTTTTCCTCCGAACTTTTACATTTTAGCGTCAATTTACGTTTAATTAGAAAACGTGACAATTTCAATATCTCTACAAACATTGTTTGTTTGACAACAATTTAGGGAAAAATAAGTAGCATATATTGTGGGGTTCAGGCGGTAGCTCGAGAATATTACAAGAAGAAAATTCTGCAAAATAAATTATATTAAAATAATTATAGGCCACATTGTTATTCAGAGACAAGCAAACTTTGGGAAGTGTATCTGTTGACAATGAATGTATTGTTCAGCGTTAATGAGAGAAGCCTTTTAATCGTCATTTGTATGACGAGAAATTGTAAAAATGAATGTGTTTCATGAAATATATGCATACATAAATAATTGTATAATAACAATAGTATAAACTAGAAAAACTACATAACCGAATCCTGATAGCTAGGGTTGTTGACGAAAACGGCAGGTATCGCCATGTCGCAAACCACCACCTTTTGAAGTCTCTTGACGCCAATCATAGCCTACGCACATTAAAAAATAGATGACTCAAAGACTAGTGCATAGTTCCTGTTGATCTAAATTACTTCTTACCTTCTGTGCATGTAGGTCCTGCAAATCCAGTGGGGCATACACATGTCTTAGCATTTTTATCATACACTCCTCCGTGACTACAATTGTTCCCAGCTTCTCCAATTGCGGTGAGATCTACAAAATGAACAGTACGTAGGTTAAAAAGGAACACACTAACTGTATGTAGTGTCAGGGATCATAAACAGAATTGATAGAAGTCTATTGTTAATCTGAAAATAACTGTTGTTATTGTTAGTCTCAGTGATAGTACTGGAAATCTCAGTGATAGTGTCTGAGAAAATCACATACATATTGTTCAAGTTTTAAATAAATCTTTTGTGCTGGTTGTCATAAAGATACATTTTTGATTTATCATACGAATTGTGTAACAAAACAATTTATTATTTAGCTAACCATTACCCAGTACCTTATTTTATTCTGGGGAGATGAAAAATTGAAATACTGATACAAACATTTTCTACAAATCGGCACATTCCCGTACACATAAGGACATACGTAGTAATGTATGTGGTGCAGGGAAATTTATGAAATGTTGCGGAAAATCGATTTCGAGACTTCAACGGAAATACACGTTTTGGGGTACCGAAAAAATGTTTTTTTGCAAATCGTCCATCCGTCCGTCCGTCTGTGAACACCACTAGCGCCTAAACTACGGGTAGAATTTTTTCCAAATTGAAGAGACCCTTATCCACCTGGCTCGAGGCGAAGCTTTGCGATTTTGAAAAACATTTTTCCAAATGTACATTAAGCCCCCCGGACATTTAAAACTTTCATAAAAACGGCTTCAAATTTTTTCTTTGAATTTCTTGTAAAAATATAGTGAAATACACTTATAAAGGTGGCAAAGGTTCGATTTTCACAGTTGACTACAAATTTTCGAAAATTGCACAATTTTGTTTTTTCTCGGCAACTACAAAATAAAAGATAAAGATTTTTTCTTGAAATGAAATTAACCATGATTACTGAAATTAACCATGAATTCTTTCATTGTCATGAACAGTTCTTTTGAAAAACATAGTTTTCGTGTAATATTTGCAATTAAAAAAATTACAAAAACAAGATTTTCTCGAAAATGGATCCAAATTTTTCTTTAAACTTTTGGTAAACATAATGCTGAATGTACTCTACGAGACGACATAAACATCATATTGCTATATTCTTTTGTTTAAAAAAATACAAATATGTACTTTTTGAGTTGTCTCGTACGTCACATTTGCGGCAATTTGTTCACATTTGTTGAGGCGGCAAAATACTCGTTGGATAAGTTGGGAGAGCAATTTGTAGAAGCTGCAACGAAACATCGCCTCTTCTGTCAGTATTTTTTTATCAAACAAGAGGGTTATGGAAAAGAGACGACACACAATTGACAAATATTGTTACATGGAGAAATAATTATCGAGTATTGAAGAGATTGTCACAGTTATCTCTATCCCGACGAAATCAAACGTTTCTTTACGAATTTCGGCGTTTTTACTTCATATTACCACTGCATCCATTGGCTGGCACTCCCTGAATAGAATCTTGAAAGCGTCCAACACGTTTTTACTAAGCTTTCTGCACTTCGGTGGTGACACACAGCTGGTGACACGTCGTGGCGTCTGAGGTAGAAATTGGTGAGTTTCCCGTATTTTGACAATGGTTTATTTTACGCGGGGCTGCCCAAGAGCTCATGCGATCTTTCGGTGACGCTCCGAACTAATAGGAAGCAGTTGACCATCTACGTCAAGGAACTTTGTACGAAATAAGTGAGTATTTGGTTAATTGGGAAGAAATTCGCTCGGCTTTTCGAGTATAATTAGGCTATCTCCAGAGCGCAAAGTTTGAAATGTACGATCCTCTGAAACGCCTTCAAAGAACATCACAAATACGAGGCGCCAAATTTGAAGCAATTTGGCGATCAATGTGTCAACATTATTCCCGTCCCCGAAAAGCATCGAACCGGGTTAAGAGGCCTAGGGCAGGACGCCGTATAACCGACTGTCACGTTCGGCGAATTGTGTGCACCCTGCTATGATTTATTGGCTTTGAACATGTTTGACCAAGTCGCGAGTTGCCAACCCTGACTCCGATGAATAATCATGCGATCGGTCCGAGGCCGGAGCTGAAGCGTCAAAAAATGACTGGAAGAGAGATTCGAATGCCTTTGTGTTAAATCCAATGCTTATTATTTACTTGCATTTAAAAGGCGAGATTAGAAGAACCTTGATTTATAAAGAGTCGGTGTTTCCATGCCCCGTGCGCATTTTTAAAAAAAATGTATTTCTTCTTGTTCGACCAAAGGTCTTTCGAGGGGTTTCGGTTTTACATACTGACATTTTGGGATTTAGGCATTCCTGACAAATTGGATAGATGGCTCTGGCTCGTTTAATTCGTTTGTTTTCTTCTAGAAGCTGCTGGATTTATTTTTAATTTTTTTTGGGGGGGGTAAGCTGTTAGGATTGCCTATCGAGCAATAGGAAGGGAAGTGAAAGATTCTATATAGATACAGAATGAGTTATGTTTAGGGAGGTTTAATGATGTCTTGGGAAATTTGATTTGATTCGCCTTGGGATGTTTGCTGTTCGACCTAGGTGAAATTTCAGAGCGGAATGAAATGAGGGACGGGAAGAATAGAAATTATTTGCTACTTTTTTCATGTGTTGGAGTACTGTTTCCATTTGGAGTTATCTATGAATTTGGTGGTTAGGTATAAACCACGGAGCTTTAATTGACTTCCTGAGGACTTTATTTTGGAGAATTTGCATTTTTTATATGGTGGCGGAAGCAGCGTTTCCCCACTCCGGGCAAGCATAAGTTAGAGTGGGTAGGATAATAGATTTATATAATGGAATCTGGCATTTGGTATTGAGTGTTGAATGTTGATTTATAAGAGGGTATAGTTTTAATATTTTGGCATTGGATTTGTTGATAGCAGCGTAAATATGACGTGGGCAAAATAAGGAATTAATAATAGGAGCGCCGGGCGTAGCCTTGGCAGTTCGATGGGGAGAAAAAAAAAAACAGTGAACAGACAAAAGCAACAAACACGGTCGTTGTGGTAACGCATGGCACGAATACTATCTCCGCCCGTGCCGTTCCGCCAATACGACTGTGAAAATTCATAAATTAAATGAAAAATAATATAAGAAAAACAATGAGTTAAGATATAATTACTACAGCTGGTATCAGTGAGCTAATTCACGAGTCGAAAATTCAAAACAAAACAAAAATAGTTTGATGCTGTGAACTTCCAACGCGCAGAAGAGGGGAAAAATTATTAAAATTGAAAATAAGTAAAATAAACGTATTGATCGATGCTTCAATGCACCATAAACAAAAACAGGTCGACTTTCTGAGCGATTTATGTCGACAATACGAATGAAGAGTCAAAAATGAAGGAACGAACCCAGTGTGCTGCAGTTAATGCAGTTTTGAACATCGGATTTTTTTCATAAATATCAAGTGTATATATAAACTAGTTTGCGCGATCACCTTCTTCTTGTAGCTGGGCATGATGCTGTAAACATTTTAAAACGACTAGTTTTTTGCTAGGATGGCAATTTTGAAGACAAGCAGCGCAATAGGGCTGTAAAATGAAATATCAGATAGGACGATATGATGAAACCTATGCTTGTGGATTTTATGTAGTTTTTTGTGTGTGCGTTTTATTACAATTAGAACTTCTGTCGTCACCACTCCTGATAATTCACTGTTGCACGAAGCAGTGATAATTGCACTGTTTAAAATGACATAAAATTAATTTAACTATATTAATTTGTTTTTTCACAAATACCATAAATGTAATTTTTTTAAAATTTTCTCAGGTCGTTAGTATGGTTAATTCCAGAGATTTGTATACCTTATTGCATTTGTGAGTGCAAGTGCTTCACATGACTTCTGATGAAGTTTTCCGAATACTCAATAATATTGTGTGAGAAAGAACTAACTTCGCATTGCAGTAACGCCTAAACGCCATTTTCTTAAGAGTGGCTCCTAATTTTTCAATGGAAATTGCCACTTAGAACAAGGTATTACTATTCTTTAATGTTCTCAAAGTAATATTTCGGTTATACTATTAGAAAACCGAAAATTGGGAAAATTTCTTAAAAATGTACTTTGGGCGTCGATAAATGGCAACTAGCAAGAGTTTGTGACAAGTCTGAATAGCTACCCAGACCATAGAAAATAGGGAACAAATATGAGAAAGCCAGCTCCATTCTGTAGCACCACCAGATTTGAAAATTTAAGTAGTTTTCGCGCAATACTATGTGCAATAATTTGCAATATTAAAAAAAATAACAAGATTTTTCAAAAACGGCTTCAAAATTTTTCTTTAAAAGTTTGATAAGGGTAGTGATAAATGTACTCTATAAGATGATATAAGCGTCAATTTTTCTCTCTTCTTTGTTTTTTCCAAAAATTACAAAATGTAACTTTTTCCAAGCATCTCACGTCGTTAATACACGTTACGTGAACGACGATTCACATTATTGCATTTTTGAGTACCAATGCTTCAAATTATATCTTATAAAGATTCTCTAAAACTCAAAAGTTTTCTGCGCGTATCCATCAAGATAAATCTTAGAAATCTTATAAATCTGAGAAATTAGAATGGTCTCAATGCCCCGAATGACCGCCCAAAGCAAATACATTTTCCAAATAAATAACCTAAATATTACTTTGTTCTTGAAGTAAATTACTGCGAGAAAGAATGCAATATTTGTCACGCTTACGTAATTTGCATTTACATTGCCACTTAGTTTTTGCAACTAATGTTCTATAATTTGTAATTTTAAAATAATTAAGTTAATTAATATTACGTTAAACAATGAGAAGAGATTTTCAGAATTACCAACTGCCTCCAAGCAATACCATCTAGATGTAATCTAGTTGTAATACAGAAAAATTAATTTTATATCATCTTAAACAGTGCAGTTCGAAAAGTGTGAAGAAAAAAATTGGAGAAATTTTTGAAAAAACATCGTTTGAATGTTTGTGAAAATGCAGAATTTTGAGCTAATTTTGACAGAAAAGGGTTGAATTTTTGAAAAACTTTATCCGAAATTATTTGAAGCTCATGTACTCATAAAGAAATTAATGTGAACAAATTGCCGTTAATGTAAATACTAACAACGGGAGAAATAAGTTAAAAACTACTAAAAAAAACTACATTTTTGTAATTAAAAAAAAACAACACGAAAGAATAGAGCGATATAGCGTTTATGTCATCGAGAACGAGCTAGAATATACTACATAGAGTGGCTGAAGCGCCTCCTTAAAAGGAACTATTGAAAATAACTTAAAAAATATCATTACTTACTTGTTTTTGAACTGATGATTTGGGGAAGAACGCTTCTCCAATACCTTTCGGGAAAAACATAAATATCATCCCCTGGAAAAAGAAATTTAAAAAAAATGTATTAAAAGGTCTTGACTACATTAATGTATATTTTTCAATTACTAAATTGTTAGTTTCAGAAAGTGTGTATTACCATCAGAAGTACATTCTGCTATGTTCAAAATCTTGCTTTTATTCCCCTCCAGATGCACAGAGAGTTTAGTAGAGCTATCTCTGATATCAAGAAAACTGGACACATAACGACTTATTTGCCATCCATTTATCTGTGAAAAATATTAGACTACTATTTTCTTTTTTCATTAGAATAAAAGGATATTTTTTATTATATTTAAAAATATTATCATTACAGTCACTTGGTACAGAGGTTTGAGATTTTTAAATAAAACTGATCATCTTTATAATTAATTAATTTTATAAATAAATATAAAAACTGACTTTCAGAGAGGCGGATGCATACTTTCGTGTTTCATATTACAAAGTTAAGTGATACAAATATAGAAAATTGTGATGACACAGCGAGGGATGATGTATTGTTCATATGCTTAATACACAAGAATTGTGTGAGGAAATATTAGGGGAAATATTTCAACCTTTTAAAATTTAACCTTTTAAAAGGTGGGAGGGGAGCAGGGGAGGGGAGGGGGGAGGGGGGAGGGGGGGGAGGGGGGAGGGGGAGAGGGGGAGAGGGGAGAGGGGGAAGTGGAGAAGGGGGTGAGGGTGGGCGAGAGGGGAGAGTATGGGGTGAGAGGGGTGAGAGGGGGGAGAGAGGGGGGAGAGAGGGGGTGAGTGTGTGAGTGTGAGAGAAATAGAAAAAGGGATGTTACCTCATTTGTATGAATTTGCTGAAATAATATTGTATCACCATTTGACTGATTAGCATAGATATTTAATGATCCAGAAGGAGGTAGTGAATAAATAAGTGACACGCAAAGATGAGGTTGTGAAAGGTGCAGAGGCGATGTTAGTATTCCACTTTCGCTCTGTAGTTCTAATATTCTGATTGCCAATGGAATAAATTCTGGAAAAGTAGACAAATGTGGTAAATCAACACTCGCTAATTATTCAGAAAGTAGGAATCGAAAGTCATAACTACACGTAATCCACAGATTTTACATTCTCATATAAGTACTATACATTTTTTTCATTTTTAATTTCATAATATGATAATCATACATATCTTGGACTTCATTAGTGGGAATATTGGTAAATAGATTCTTCACATTAAAAGCAACTAATTTTGCATTGGGGGGAACAGCAATATCTTTAATTTTATTAATGGGATCAAACGAACTATTCAATTTAAATCTAAGGTTAAAATGGGTGGTTGAGTTGAAAAGAGGGATCATAAATTTACAAAGGGATGAAATACTGAAATTGAAAAAACATAACTCTTTATTCCCTAGTTCCAAATCACCAACCTCCATTGAAAGAAGTGACATTTATCACCTTACTTGTAATAACTGCTTCAGCCTATGTAGGCCAAACAGGCAGAAAATTTTCAGTTACAATTAATTAACATATTAGATGTTGGAAACAAAATTTAGGCACTTCCACCTTTGCCAATCATTTGATTCAATTTAACTATTCTAATTATAATATTCTAATTATAATATTAAAATCTTTCACTTAACCAACAAAGGCAAAAAGAAACATTTTCAAGAACTTTGAAATTCTAAAACTTTTCTAAAATATTAATTTTTCTACCTTGAATGAACATTTCTTAATTGAAATGTATTCCCATTTTAAATATTTTTATTGACAAGCCCCCAATCATTCTTTTCACTTTAATTGTTCGCAAATTTCTTCTACTAGTCAACATGTTTAAAATATTTCCTTTCTGTAAATTAAAATTCTAGAACTTTTCAAATTCCTAATTTTCTGTCCTGTATTTACATTCTTGTATGAAAAGTAGTTAACTTTAAATAATCTCTCACAATTGATAGGCTTTCTCTTCTCTCCATTCCAAAAGATGGCTGCCATCTAGCCGCACCCCACATGTTTTTGAGTTTTCATGTTGTTTTCAACCATGTTGTGAACATTTCTAAGTGATCTACGTTGCTTTGGCAGTAAGTGTTTTTAATTTATTTATTTATTATTTATTTCATATTATTTGTTAATTTTTTTCACATAAATTCACTGTATTTCTTGTTGCGCCCTTTATGTTCATATTTCAATTTTCTCCTCCATGCTAGAGACCCACTGATGATGGGAAATGTGATTTCCCAAAAGTCAGCTCTGGGAACGTAATAATTAATGAAATTATTATTCTTTTTTGTGGACGATTATTTCCTTCTCCCATTACTAATTATTTATTTGTCATAATAAGGCATGGGAAAAGAGTTGTGTTTAACCTTCCCTACTGCTACTGTTGGTGTAATGCTAATGCTACTATTACTGTTACATCTACTGAATCATTGATTTGGGACTTCTACTGTTACTGGTACTTATACTGTTATTGCTACGTCTACTGTTAGTGTTATTGTTAACTCTATTGTTTCTGTTACTGCTACTTCTATTGTTCCTGTTACTGCAAATTCTAATGTTACGGTTAAGGCCTATCCACAATGCAAATGTAAACATAAGCATAACGCACAAACGTAAACATTAACGGAAGTGATAGACTGAAGTATTCACAATGTCTAACATAAACATAAGCAAAATACGAGTTTCTATTGTCTGTGAGGCATTTTAGTTTACTATTGGTTGAATGTGAGAATCGATTTTGAGGTATCGACTATGTCCACGGCCCATATGGCGTTAGTTCGTCTATCGACTTCGCGCCTCTTTTGATTCTCGATTTTGAGTTAACGTACTGTGATTGGTTCATTTCTTATGTCTTTCTTAAGCATAAGCACAGAAGCTTGAAGCGTGCAAGCTTTTACGTTAACGCCTTACGTGTTATGATTATGCGAACGCATTTTCAATGAGTCCGCTTGTGGACGTAGTCCTAACTTTTATGTGAACGCCATATGTATGTTTATGTGTGCATTGTGAATGGGCCTTTACTGTTACTTCTACTGTTACTGTGTCGCTATGTCTACTGTCGCTACTATTACTTCTATTACTGTTTTTGTACCTCCACTTTTAGTTGTATTATTTACTTACCTGTTTCGTACGTAGCTTCAAAACCAGAGCCTCTATTTGACGAATCAGTCACAAATTGAATAATCATAATATTTTCAGGAGATTCTGCATTTAATGTTCTTCCTGGTCCACTTTCTCTTGCTATTTCCCTATATTTTCCATCATACACAATCACTTTGTCATAAGAATATTCTGTGTTGATTGATGGGATATTCTGAAACACATTTATTGATATGAAAGTGTAGGTAAGCGTAGGTTATATAGTTTGTCATTGAAATTGTACTTATTAGATTTTAACTTAATATATAATATGCATCGAAATTGATTTTGGTTTCGTATTTTCGTCAATTGTAATAGATATGTTGCCTTCGTATTAACAATTTAGGGGAAAGTTCCCGTATTTGGACAGTCGTCTAAACTGAAACTTTCCTGTATTTTTTAGTATAAGCATTATGAACATAAATGTTAACTTTAATGCAAGGGAGGACTGCTCAGGGATTGCTAGTCAGTTTTCGGTGGATAGCAATCATCTTGGTGAGAAGGATACATTTCTTTTATCAAATTTGTCTTATGTACTATATTAATTTGGACAAGTTTACTTGATGAGGGATAAACATGTGAAAGATCCAACATGTTTCTAAAGCTAATGGTGCTACAAGAGCACATACTCTCTCGCATTATTTGTAACTGCTCGTATTATTTTCAGCTTATCATTCATAGTCATAGAGGCAAGCGAGGTTGAGTACACATACAAATTGAACATTCAGAACTAAAGAACATCTATTAAGTCGCATTGCAAATGCATGAGACTACGATGTCATTACCCTACGCATTTCTATATATAGGAGTCACACCAACTATGGACCACATCCATATCTTCTAACCAGTTCAGGATATCGAAATGCAGTTTTCGCTGATCAATGCGGAATTGAGGGGCAAATGACATGCTATAGAGAAATTGTGTATACAATTTTTAGTTTTCGAGAAATTTAATCATCTTTTAATTTTTTAAATGAAAATACTTATATATTTTTCTCACTAGCAATAGATAGATCATCAAAAGAGGAATAAAATGATGTATTATATGTTAGTATTTTATTAGTAATTTGAGTATAAAATTAGACTTTCTGATATGTGATTTTGAATGAAACGGACAATATTTCGTCTAGCAGCCCGTGCAACTTTCGCCTTCGGGGAGCGTGGCCTTCCTGACGTCAAGATCGTTGCGTGGAGACGGGAAACTTCCCATATAAAGATGACATACGTCCGTTTTCCACTATTAACTTTAAATTTTCGAAAATTTCAAAACATTGATTTTTTCGGCATATTCCTACTTTTACAAAATTTACAAAATTGAAGAGAAAAATCTACTTTGGGAGGCGATAGCCGGCAGCTGGCAAGAATATGTGGCAAGACAGAAAAGCTAACCCAGTACAAAAAAATTAGAAACCTAACTAGTACGAGAAAGTCTCTGCCATTCTGTATCACCACGAGTTTTCGTGCAATAGATACTTTTACGTTCTCGTATACGTACGTGTATACGGAGTAATATACTTAGTATATAGAAAGTTATGTAATACTGCGGAAAATCAATTTCAAAATTTCAACGAAAATTCACGAACTGGGGTCTTCTGATACCGAAAAAGCGTTGGTTGTTTTTGAAAACGTCCGGCGGTCCTCTCTCTCTCCGTTCGTCCGTCTGTCTATGAACACCAAAGGCACCTAAAACATATGCAGATTTTTTTAAATTGATATTTTCTGGCGGGTATTATGTGGCTTGACTCAAAACGCGGGATTTGGGAAAACATTCTTAAAAATTAGAGGGTAGTTTACATGACGCCTCACAGACATTTTGAAACTTTTCTCAAAAATTTCATATGTTTTCTTTACATTTCCTTTCTGAATAAATTAAAATAGACTTCTAAAGATAGAATAGATCTGTTTTTCACTGTTAACTCTAAATTTTTAAAAATTGCAAAAGTTTGAATTTTTCACCGTTTTCCTACAACTACGAAAATGAAGACAAATGGGATATTATTCTTTCAAATGAAACTTGTTCTCCATAATTTGTTCATTCATTAAGGTAATGCACATTTTTTTTAAAAAAATAGTATTTTTGTGAGCAATATGTGCAATTTGAAACAATAACAAAAACAATTTCTCAAACTCGGCTCCAAATTGTTTTTTTTAAACTTTTGGTAGGGATAGTGCTAAATGTACTCTGCGAGATAACATTAATGCCACATCGCTCCATTCTTTTGTTTAAAAAACTACAAAATGTACTTTTTGACTAGTCTCTCACGTCGTTAATATTTACGTTAGCGGTTAGCGCTGATTTATATAGTACATTATTACATTTGTGCGTGAAATTGTTTTCCAGAAAATTTATTTGAAAAGGAACTTCAAATTTTGCATTTACATTACAGCTTAAACGATTGTATGTTAGAAACGGCTTCAAATTTTTCATCGAAAATGTCCGTAGAAGACGAGCTTCTACTTATTTTTAACATTTTAAACTAATATTTTAGTTCTGCCGTTAAGAAACCGAAAAACTTATATTTAAAAAAAAATGCACTTTGGTACTAGGTGGCAAGAGAATGGGCGAATACCTGGGAAACTAGCCCGATACGAAGAAATTAGAAAACTAAGTAGTACGAGAAAGTCTGTGCCAATTTGTAACACCACTAGTTTATTCTGTGAGTGATTAAGGATTAATGTACCGACACTAGTTCAATCTTTCGCCACTATGTAGAAGCACCTAAATAAGCCAAAATTATTTTACTAATAACACCTGAACAAGTAGTCTGATTTTAAATCAGTAAACGGCATTTGTTTTGAGTTTAATAAATAATTAACGCTACGAAGCCTCTTTGAAAAAATTGAAAAATGAGATTTGGAACTTTTTTGGAATAGTTCCGATAAGAAATTAAAAAATGTGAACTTATCGTCCAAATCAGGTGAATAGGAATAAGATAAGTTTGTAATTTCTTTGTAGATGTTTACATGAATAGTCCCATAAGATGATAAACAATAATTTTCGTCAAAATGTTGGTTGTAAAGAAAGTGGTTTTTAACGAATGAATAATTTTTTATATATTCTATGAAATAAGCTGTTATCAAATTGTAACTATTTCTTAAATATGAATTTTGGAGTTCACCTTTATCAGAAACACCGTAATTGTTATCTTTTTTTGTAGACCAGCATCATAAACGACCTCTTTTGTTGCAATAAATTGTAATGGCATTTTACGGCAAAATGATGACGTATTAGCAGAAACTACTATTATAATTTGATTATATATTTTTTGATGGTTTTGGTCAATATTTTGTTTTAATTAAACCTTTATTGAGATCATGATAATGAAAAATTGAAAAATTAGGCAACTTTCACCAAACAGAAGTAGCAAAGCAGTCGTACATTTTCTTACCAAGCGAATTCTTTTCTCTTTTGATGTTACAATTATCCAAAAACAATTTAAGTTGTTATCATAGGAAGAAGGATAATTCGGTGAATGAAATGTTCCACTAGTTTCAGTTAACAGATGATGACATATGTTTTATGCAGTACAAGTTCTGTTATCACTAGTTAAATGAAATCCATCTGGACAGGAACACTTATGTGTACCATCGCTGTTTTGACAAAAAACCTGGCATTCGCCATTGTTGAATTCACAAGGTAGATTAAAGCCTAGACAAAAAAAAATAGTTAATTATATAGATGATACAATTACAGTATACAGTGAATAAATGCTTCAAAAGTCAATCATATATTACCCCGTGATTGTAAGGAGAGCATATTTAATTCTTGGTAGCTGATTGGTGTCCAAGTCCAAGAGTCTTCACTTTCCCAGTCACAAGGTGATGTGTGGGAACATCCAAATGGTGGAATAGCTCTTGTTGAAAGTGGTGCTATTGATAGTCAATCAAATTTTCGTATTGATGTAATGTGTGCGGCATTTCAGTAATATTTTATAACGCAGCAAATGAAAAAAAAGTACAAAAATAATCAATTCATCTGTGCAATTATCACCTATATATATTTTTTTTACTTATTTAAGGCTGCTTTTCAACTATTATGGTCATTTAGCGACCACTGAAAATAACATTGGTTTTGCAACGTTGGGGGTAAGGCAACGTAGTACCCCTCCCATACTTGTATACTGACATTCACAAATATCCACGGTCCGGGCGGTATTCGAATCCGCGGCACTTCAGGCGCGAGGAAGCTTCAACCCTTCAGTCTTCGCGACCTGTGCTACCCAGGCCGGTGGATTGGTGATAATAGTTATGTGTACATTAGGAATAGCATTAATGCACAGGCCTTACGTTGCTCAGCATGTCCGGGGGGCGCCCCGCTGTTGGGAGATACCTGGATGAGAAAAACTACGCAAGCCAACGTGTATGTCTGCGCCGAATCGCATCGTTGAACGGGGAAAGAACACTTCCATGTCTCGTGATAAAAACATGCACTACGCTTTCGAAACTAATGACCATAATATTTGACGCGGCCGGATACATAGAATAAAGCACACACACATGTATTTTAATAAGTCTAAATTGTATATTAATGTATCACCTGCAAAAGAAGGACACAAAAATACAGTGGCACATTTAAACACTAGTGAAGTTAGATAGAAGAGCCCAACTTTGTTCTGTTGCGTTGCGTAGACCACGATCGATACTGAAGAATATTCCAGGAATTGGAACATATTCCAGGTCTCGTGACCGGTCACAATAAAAACACACACTAATTGAATTGTTGGTGAAGTAGATACCTTTTTATTATGATAAATAAATAAAGATATTGTCAGGTATCAATATTTTAATTCAGCTTATGATCATTTCGAATCTCGGCCGCATTCGTTTTTCGGCCCAGAAGCTGTAAGATCTGAAGATGATCGCTACGCGATCGAAATGATCATAAGCTGAATTAAAATATAGATACCTGACAATATCTTTATTTATTTATCAAGAACACACACATTTATAGTGCGTAGCGGGACACATTTAGCCTCATCATCAGTGTCCAGTGGCAAACGATGCTCGAACGCTTACGAAATAAATTCCATGTTTTTGTGGAAGAACAACAGTGGCGGATCTTCAGGGGAGGCGAGAAATCCCCTCCTCACTTGTTTTCTTCGTCTGGATATAATTACCAAATGAAAGATTTGCTTGCCAGCAGAACTTTGACCTTCTCTCTTCCACAGTAAAAACATACACGTTCTAGAAAATGTTGATGTACTCTTTCCTTCACTCTTCAGAGACCTAAACACCAATTATTGTCAAAAGTCTAGCTCCTCATCGTTGCTGCCCTGTGTGAACAACTATACAGTACACATTATTGATTATAAAGCATTTTCTGAGTGAAATATGTTCTTCAAAATTAGATCTTTAAATTAATGTCATGTATATTTTTTTGAAAATATTTGCAGTTTTTGTCTAATGTTAAGTACTGTAAAATAGGGCAATTCATAAAAATTACGTAAACAATATTTTGAAACAGTATAATTTTAGCCGATAGGCCGTATGATCTTGAAACGTCTGAATTCTAATTGTTGCAAAAATACTACTTGCAGCGCTTCGCAGCATTTTACAATTCAGTTTTATGACTTTCATTGATTATTTCGTGTTCCTGGGTGCGCGTTTTCCCTCGGGAGGCAGATATAATTTCCCGATAGATCGTGTGATCTGGTCCAGGCCTACATGTCGGCTATTGGGGTTTTCTCCAAGCAGGTATCTCGCATCATCGAGACACCGCACCACCCAGGGCGAGCTGTAAGCTCCCGATCGGTCTCCCGGCGTGTGTAGTGCACGTTAGCGCGCGTGTGTGTAAGTAAAGGGTGACGGTAGGACGAGGAAGGAAAGATCGCGCTCGGTCCATGGCCTGTTTGTCAGGTTTCGTCTCCAGCATTCTGCTGGTGGTGGCAAGAGAAACCACTGAAACCTCCCAATTAGGACAACCGGCCACTGAAATTCTCCTCCCGAAGCAGCGGCTGAATTCGACCTAGCTATGAAAGCAGAGCCGAAAATGCTGCTACCACCGGGACTCGAACCCTAAGGCGTCAAAAGCACTGCAGGAACATTATTGCCATCTGAGCCACTTATTATGAGTTTTGGAAGATGCTGAAAAAGCTGGTGAAATTCCATGTCATTCCGAGTATCCATCACGGTGAGTGTTGATGTGTTGGTGTGGGTATAATCGTAAACTGCGGTAATAAAATATATACCGTTTGTTTAAAATGAAATTAAATGATTATGATGACGTCATTGAATTGCAAATAATGAATGTGTTGAATAAAACACCAAAGAAAATACGCTTCCAAGATAATATAGATTTGTCGTGAAACTTGAGCCTTAATTTTCAGCCATAGTGATATTTCATCCAAGAGACCGTTTTTACTTTCTCGCTACCGCTTACGTATTAGAGAGAAAATTATGTAATACTTCGCGAAAATACGGCGAATGTTCTGCAGACAAACTCTTATTACAGGGCACTGGTAACAAAAAAATTGACAAATCCACTTGCTAAATTTAGAAAAAAAAATTCACCAACACGTGGTGTAGTCCGAATTCATGTTTTGTTGGTCCTTGATATTGAAAAATCAAATGACATAAAAACATGTCTGTCCGTTCGTCTGTGAACAACGCTAGTGGTTAAACCGTTCAACTGATTTTCTTCAAAACTGATATTCCCCAATCGATATGGCTGATGTTTCGACCCCTTGGATTTGAAACCGATATTTCAATTTAGGAAGGTACGTTGGGAAGTACTTTACACGAAGTCCCTTCAACATTTTCATTTTTTTTAATTGCTCCATCCTTTTTTATTAAATTTTGTTGCTGGATAGTGTGAAGGACGTTTAAGAGAATGGCGTAGGTATCACAATCCTTGAAAACTCTGATAATTCGAAAATTGCAAAAATTCAATTTTTTTACGGTGTCATGCTACAACTCCAGCGAGAGAAATAGAGATTTTTTCCTTAATAAAATATATTTCTTTACGATAAATTTTGATAGAAGGTCATGTTGAATTTTTCGAATAATTGAGTACTATTAGCGTAATTATGCGTGAAAGTACGGGAGAGAAAGTACGAGCTGTTTTAGCACCACTATTTTCTCAAATCAATAGATTTCTTCGTAGTGTTTGAGAATTGAATTTAGTTGCGCAATTTAGTTTATGAACACGAGAATTAGGAATGAAATAGGGGATTTTGCAGGCTTTGTTTCTAATTGCCCATCCCTGAATTTAACTTACACGTGTTACATACATTTTTATTCACTTATTAAACGTGATGAGCAGTTAAAAGTGTATGACGTACTATGGACACAAATGCGATATATGCATGGTTTTTTGAGATCTGGGATGCCTGTTCTAATTCACATTTATATTAGGTTGAATTATGAAATAAAGCAACGATCGTTTTTGATCAGAACAGGTATGAAAATATTCTCTCTCCTGTAATAAAAACTGTTTGAAAAGGCAAATCAGCTACAGATTTATGCTATTATCCCGAGAGCTTTACGTGAAGAAATCGACTTACCGCTTTGGCAAAATGAAAACTATTTTTCGAATTTCAACATTCCCGAAAGAGCTCCAGAAATCGTAAACAGAAACTACATTTATGTCCAAAAGTAAAACAAGGAAGGAGCCATCTTAGCATTTTCTCAGAGGATCAGGGAAATTGCACGAAAAACCTGATCGAGATGTGTATCATTGACCCGGAAGCTGAAGTACAATATTTGTTACATGCGTTTTTAGTATTTTATATTTATACAGACTCAACGGTAACAACTGCAGTAGATACATTTGTTAAAACTATTATTATTTTACCTTTTGAAGTTCAAAATAGTCTCTAATTGTGTAGAAACAGTTATGTAGAAGACATGATTTTACTTACAACTTAACTTGTACATCGATTTTAAACGTTTTTAATGTTAATGTTAAATTTTCATATCATTTACATTAAGCAATGGATCAAATTTAAGTTCTGTGTGTGTTGGCGTCGCCTCAAGCTCAGCTTGTACCCATTTTCACAACGAAAATACTTGGGAATTAATTCTGAAACGCAGTAATTAATTAGGAATTACTTATTAGATATTTATTAATTACAGACAGTCAATTCGTAATATTTTTTATTAAATGGCGCAACGTTTCGCTGACCAATGCTTGTGTCTGCTTAAGCAGGTACATATAGGTATAGGTGTTGTGGTGAGTTATCGTTGACATTTCCAATGAAATAATTATATGCGTTGGAAATTGTTATATTCAATGGAAATGCCAACCATAATTCACCACAATACCTATATTTTAAAGCTAGTCAAGCTCAATTGGTGAACCTTTGGTACAAGTTAACAATATTGTTGGCAATGACGACGCATATATTTAAGCAGGTACAACTAAAATAGTAACCCTAATCCATTAACATCGGTCTCAGAAACGTTGTGATATGTAACAAAAAAGTATTAGGAATTGTCTGCCTATAATTAATCGATATTGCGATCCATAAAATTTAGACAGGCGGTAACAAAAATAACCCTATTTAATTATTACACAGTTTCTGTCGAGTTACGGATCTAATTTAAGTTATGTGTGCGGTTGCGTCCATCAAAATAACTAAACCAAAGTTCTTGAAAAGAGTAGAAATATCCACACCAGTTGTAGTTAATTAGTAAAATAAAAAAAAATTCTCAGAAAATTAAAATTTTCTTTCGTAATAGAAAACAATGCATGGCGCATCGTATTATAATACAACCATATCTTCAGTCAGATGAAGGTTTTGTAAGTTTATAATAAGGATGTGCTGAGAATTGAATTTACAATACTAAAAATAATATTTTTTTTGAATTGAGATTAAAAAAATTGAATTCATGGTAGAAATTTGAGAAGGTTGAGATTTACAGTATACATTAATAGATTGAACATGAATATTCCTTAAAAACTGAAAAACAAACAGGCATAGAGACATGAGACATAAGGAGTTGTCTGAAAATGGACAATAAAATTCATTTTATTGTCTTTTTTAATAAATCTCTCATTTTGTGAGTATTTTCCTCTCTTCTATTGATCGTTTATAATTGACCTTGAAACTTCAAGTCCTAACAGTATCACTACAATCAAATTGATCTCTTTATTTGGACAAACAACTGCTAAGTTCACATTGAATTTAAGAAAACTAAAAATTTGAATACTTACAAATAATTGTGTGATTGTCATGAAGTAATATTTTTCCAAGAGAATTTGACATTGAATGTAATTCAACCTCAACTCGATCCAAACTGTAAACTGAAACCAATAAAACAAGAATTTATAATGTTGAAGGTCATTCATTTCTCTAAATTTCTATTTGAATTCAGTAATGTAACTTTTGTTCTTCATATAATATATCAAATACGAAGTTAATGTTGCTTTTAAAATTTTAATGCCAATAAGTTTTTAATATACGTTATTCTCCCTAAAAAATTAAAACTTACCAAGGTTTGAAGTTTCTGGCATTTTGAAAAGTATATTCACATCAGGTATTTCTAAACAAAAAAAGTTATAATATATTGCAGTAATGCATTCTCGTTATATATATATATATATATATATATATATATATATATTACTTTTATTTCTACGATCTAATAATTTTCATTTAGTGATATTAAAAAATTAATTTAAGAATATTTACCTGATGTACTTATTACTAAACACAGCTGCGCAACAAATGACAGTACTAATATTTTCTCCATCTTGAAAAACAAAAATAATTATTTTGGCTGTTATTAAATTTTGCTCACTCGTTTTCGATCATATCGAGTCTTGGGTCACTTTGTAATAACACGATTTTGTTCTGAGAAGTCCGAATTCTATTTCTAGTACGACACCGTCTCTACCGTCTTACACTATAATAGACCCTGCTTCTCACAGCAAATACCCTACACTGAAATCTTTCCTCTCGGGCGAGTCTTTGGAGCGATAGCGCACGAAACGTTCTCGGAAATAAGAGATAGCTCGCCGTCACTGGCTCATGATGCAAAGATGCATGTCTTTGCTCCGTGGAATGTCTGCAGGCTATTTCTTTGTATTACAGGCTGACTAACTCACTAGAACAGCCATCCCGACAGTAGTTTTAGTACAGTTTTCCAGCATTTACGAGGAACAATAGTGAGACAAACCTGTTTCTTATGGCCCTATAACTTATACCACCTGCACACGCAACATCCAGTGTACTAAATTCATTTCTTAACGTCTAAATATAACCGTAATATACACTTAAAATAAATTACAAGGATACTAAATATTAACAAAATGCTCACATTTCTTAGTTTAATTTACAACTAGAACTAAGCAAAGACTTAGGCTTAATGGTTGCGAACGGCAAATCGTATCCACAAGTTTTTCTGCTGTTTTGTAAAAAAAATCTGTTCCTTAAGCATTTATTTCTGTTCCATTAGTAGACTTTGTTTTGTTTTTTGTTGTTTTTTAACCGTGCGCTATCCAATAGGCATTTGCCACCCCACTGGATGTGACGGGTCGAGAAACATCCCTGAGCCTTGCATTGTTATCAAGATCATTGAAATCGGCCATAAACTGCGCAAGATGTCAGGTTTCGGCAGATGGTGATGCAACGTTTGCCTGTTGCAACTCTGTCTTCTCATTAGCGCTTCTGTATCCCTTCTCCTAAAGTTTCGCTTTCGCCTCCTCTTCTTTCGGCTTAAGGCCTGGGAATCCCAGAGATCACGTGCTAACGGCTGGAGACTCCGGAGCGGGTGCGGGGAAAGACGGCACGGCAACACTACTCATGCAAGATTGCCAACTGTCCTGATCCAGAACGTCGCTATTTAACAAGGCATGGGTTATCAGTATTGAGAAGAACCTCTTAAGCGCATGGGACTAGTAATAGTTCTTTTTTATCTATTTTTCACGTGTTTTGTGTGTTGTTGCGAAAGTTTTGAGTTTTTCTTTAAACAGTATTATATAGTATAACATGTAGGCCTTCTCCCCTCAAAAAATCACCGTTTCGAAACGATAACACAATAATCACAATCCAAAAATGTTCGTGAGTAAAGATGTGACATTGCGAGTACGTGATTTGTGGAAGTGCATGAACTGTATGGGAGTGGATGACATAGCAAGGAAAAGCAAGTAAAAAATCCTAATGCCCTTTAAAAACTCTAAAAACTCGATTTATTTCTAATGATTGCCTGAAAAGAGCGGCAAATCGGTTTTTAATTAAACAATGAGGCAGTAAAAACAAAAGCATTGCCAATTTTTTCAATGAATTTGTGTTTATTGTTGTCTTTGATTGCGAGAGTAAGCAATGCAAGATTGGCAATTCTCAAAGAATATACAGTAGGTATGTATATTCTAATATGGAGTTCTACAAATTATAAAACTCACTGCAGATGGGTGTGGGTGGTGAGACGGGGGCTAAGAAACCTTTTAAAAAAATATTTTATATAGAGTTTTAGTGTAATTACTCATAAGCATTTTGGTTCAGGGGAACTTTTTACTATCTTATTCCGGGAGATTCCTTTATCAGTTATGCTTCGATAGTTCCGTACGGCGAGAACCTAGAACAGATAGGGCTTGAAAGATAAACCCTTCCAGACATTAATTAAGACATTTACGAGCTTATATTACGAGCCAATCCGTCTTCCCAAGCTTCAAAGTTAAAATCTTGGGCCACGATTGACGAGATTGTTAACTACTCATAAAATTTGATTTAATTTTATTTCGTGTAAAACAGCCAAAAGCGGAACTTTTATTAATTTGCACTGTCTGCCAATAATTATATCATCTTATAAGGTTATTTACATGATAAGAAAACCCTACCAATTGTTTGTGTTTCTCTAGGGTAATCTCTGGAATGAGTGAATCGATTGATACTGTTTTCTCTCTTCTTTAAAAAAAAATTATCGTTCCATAAACTTTTCCTTTCGAGGAGGTTGATTATATATGTGGCCTCAAAGTTAACACATTACGTCATTCGTCTAGTATTTTGTAAACGGACCAAAAATTGCTGGACCAACGTTTGAAAGAATTATAACCAAAATATATAACACATACTAATTTATACTACAAGACTGAAAAAATCAAGTTTGAGCTTAGAAAAAAGAACAAAATAAAGTATTTAAATATTTTACATGCATTTTTATCTAACCAAAATTGGACTTACAATCAGCGTAAGTCAAATTCGTTCAATACTAAAACATTTTTTTCACCAAATGGCGATTGGTATGTGTACGTGCACGAGTACTACGTGTGTTATGACTAACGTGTTTAATGACTAACGTTGTCATTAGTTACCAGGATGACCTTCTCCAATAGGAAGATTTTGCACGCCTTAGCGGGCAGCAATCTCTATCTTCTGCGCATGCGCAGATGCACAAAAGGGATGCGAAACTTGAACTGCGCAGGCGCAGTCGATCCATAATACTGTCACTTGCTTTAACGTCCGAGGGTGCCAAAACGTGCCAACAATAATTCGTTGCGTAATTTGAAAGCCTGTGTAACGTGCGATGACTGATGAATTTACTCAAAATGTGATACCATACTTCAGTTGAGAAAGCACTTGGCAAAAAAAAAAAAAAAAAAGTGAAACGAATCTAGACACTTTTACTTGCGACCTCTCCCCTCTCTCTTCCGCGGGAGGGCGCTTTCGTCGGCGCGGGGCGATCCGGCATAAAGCCCGCCCGCCAGCCGCTCGCGACACTCGCCGTGCTTACGAATGACACAACATAGCTCCCAGTAGGTGGCCCACATCTCGGCGACCTGTCCCACTTGTGCAGACTCGCAGCCAGGCGGCGTTGGATATGCTCGCGGAGGTGCTCGTGTCTTTTCCCTCCGTCCCCCTTCTTTCCTCCCTCCCCTTACTGCCTCCCACCACCTCCATCCTCCCCTTCTTGACTTCTACCTTCTCCCTCCTTCCTCCTCCTCCTCCTCCATCCCTTTCCCTCCTTCATCTCTCCTCCTTAATTCCTTCCCCTCCCCTTCTTTCCTCTCTACCTTCCTACTTAACATCTCGCTACCCCCTTATCAGCTCCGCCCACCCCCTCGCGCTCCTCTCACTACTCTGCCCCCCCGTCAATACAATAATAAACCAAATAGCTAATATATCACACAAATTCTACCAAAACCTAACAGACATTCCAGCAGCATCGCATTTCAAACTAGCGAAAATTTCAACCCACACCCTAATAAAAATATATTCCCATTTGAAGCCTTTCTCAAAATCTTAGCTCACCATGATACTTAAACCAAAGGTTCTCCCCCAGAGTATCCTCACAAATGTATATATTAAGTTACCTTATATACTGAACTGGTTTAAGTCTTAAAAAACATCTGTAATGTAATTATACTAAACGATGTATTCCATCTAGAAACAAATAAATATGTATATAAAAGCCCTGCCCACTTCCCCCTCTCCTCCCTGCGCCCCTTTCGCCATTTCCCGTCCTCGGCCCTCTCTCCCCTCCTCCACTCAGCCATTCCACCCCTCTCCCGCCCCCTCCCCGCCTCGCCCTGCCTGGCGTACCGCAGGGGCGCGATGTGTGCCAAGTGGGAGTGACGGTTTCACTAGCGCCCTCTGCAGTCTCCACGTCGGCGACCACCTGTGAAAGCGACTAGATTCGTGGGGTGCGAAATTACAGGAAATTTTGGTTCGGCTCGGTTATCACAAATTTATATTTCAGAAACTTTTTCAATAACATAATTGACGATACTTTGATAGAACTCCGATTTCTCCAAGTTTTTTTCACTGGGTATTAAATGTTCAATATGTACTCCTTTCGTCACATGAAACATGACTATGCGATAGTCTAATTCCACCCAAACACGATGTAGCGTTTCTTTAAAAACGATCATAAAGAATCAACAATAAAATTCTTCAGTTTCTGCGTTGTCGTCGGCAATGGAGGCATGTATATAAAGTCTTTAACATTCCCCCAAAGGAAATAATGAAGAACTGTAAGGTTGGCAGAGCGTTGGAAGAGCCCGATGCATCGCCCGATCCATCGATGTCAGAGTTCCACGTTAAGGAAACGACGCACATTTATGTGCCAGTGCGGAGGTGTCTCTGCAGTGCCTCTGACCGGGAAGTCCTAGACTCGAGTCCCGACGGTGGCAGGATTTTAGTCTCTAACTACATAGGTAGGTAGGTTCAGCCCCTGTCGGGAGGAGAATTCTAGCGGCCGGCTGCTATGGTCGGTACTTTCCCGTGATTTCTCCGTTCAATACCACGCGAATGCCGCAGTACCCCAAAAAACGAGCTATGGACCGCGCACGATATTTCCTTCCTCTTCTTTGTCCTATCCTCACTTTTTTCTTACACTTGCACTCACATGCACTACTTCCCCACACTTGTCGGGAGACTATTCGGAAGCGCAGAGCTTGTCCCGGCTGGGCGGTGCACACTGGTGGGAGATATCTGGTTGGGGAAAATTCTCGCAAGTCGACGTAGGGAAGCGCCGGAACTCGCCATCCAGCGGGGGAAACCACCGCCAACTACAATTAGTAAAGAAACTAGTTTCAAATCGCGCCATCGCGTCGTCGGTGGGCATTCTATTGCGATACTTACGTGCCGCGCTTTCTACGCGTCATACTCCCAATTTACAAAACATTTCATTGGAATTCAAACAAGTCCATCCCTTGATACATAGGGCATAAAATTAAACGTTTTAGTTATTCGTACTTGTACAAAACACTACTCACGAAGTGTAATATTCTCTCACGAAACCCGAAATCGTTCTGTCGGTTTATCATGAAGTCTAATATTGTTCTCCCATCCATCTCTTACGAGTACGAAATCTATAACCGGTCTCTTCAGAGAGACGCCAAAATCCAACATGAAACCTATCCATATCTTTTGTCCACGATCATTTTAACTTATTTTGTTATTGAACATTTTCGTCTCCTTTCAGTCATATTCCTCTTTTCTTGTTCCATTCAATGTAACAAAACGTGACATAATTGCTTGTCTGTCCTTTCTGAGAATATTACTTGGTGAAAAATTAAAATTGTTTGCTGCAATATAGTTTGTCCCTTGCAACTACTACTTTCGATAATTAATCCGGACATTCAACGTTTGGAATATTATTTACATTTGAGCGTAGAACATATGCAAGTACTGGAATGCGTATATTAATTTCCACGTTTTATCTGGACTAATGCAGTAAATGGATGCCATACTTACTGTCTATTTGTATACACAATGTCCCGCTTTATTTTTCATTCCAATTTTAACGTCAATAAAGGGTTGTTATATATACTTTTTATACCACAATATTCCTCGAGATAACTGGTATATCCCATAAAAATACTCATAAGATGAACATTACGTAATGATTCGCTAGTTTTCTATGCATTCAAAACTATTCATTTACGTTCTTACTCCATGAAATACGACTGCCATCAGGTGGTACAACATATTATTGTATAAAGCTATAAAAGGAAACAAAACCAATCAACTAGAGATGTGAATACGTAATAAAGCTTTGTTTCAATCTGAACTCCTAAAAATTGGCGAATTTTATTTTGCAATCCCTAGTCACAGTGCTAACACAGAATGCGTCTTTTCTCTCATAGATGCACAGTGTTCCAAAGACGAACTTGTTTACTTACTTTTTGGGAAATGAAAAATTGTGGAAAAGAAAAATTTCATAACCCTCCAAATACTTCTGGCATGAAAGTGGAAAAGTCT